TTCTATATATTTCGGCTGCATTTTCTGCAAAACCATTGCTTACCATAAAATGAATACGTCTTATGAATTTCAACCTCGACTCCAGCGGCACTCATTGGGTCAATTTTTATCAAAATAATTTTCCATCATACAGGTACATAGCTCACATTTAAAATTTGAACGAAATCGTTTAATAAATACGATTGCGATACGAAATAACTCTACTCCAGTACCACATAGCGAGCTTTCTAGTAGCATGTAATAAGACTATATATTTATGTATGTAAGATAACCTCCGACAATCTGACGGAACTCTATTTAGTGTTTTTTGAGTTTAGGCCGAACAACGAAAACGGGTATCATTTTATGCAAATAGGTATGTAAATAGGACAGTCTATAGCGAAACTCGTAAAATCAAAGCTCCATTCTTTGTGAAAAATTAAAAAAAAAAATCTTAAAAATTTTCAGATAAATGTTTCCTTTTACTAAAAATTAAAAACAAAGTTACAATAGTTCAATGGGATTTAGACATCTAGGAGAAAATGGTTCCCATTCGAATGATAATTGCGCGTTTACGTAAATGTATATCGATCCAGCCTTTCCAATAATTACCACTTTTCGCCATAAGTACGGTATTGATAAATATTTAGCTGTGTCGAATTTCAGGACGTTAGCGTAAGCGGTTTCAGAGATAAGCTATATGAGAAGTTCAGTTTGTATGGAAGGTGCCACGCCCCTTTTTCCAATGTATTTGCAATATATGCATCAGTGCTAAGTTTCAGTTCCCCTACAGTTTCAACATACCGAGTAAATTATTGGTCGGAATATTTATTTTCAAGGTGCTGTCATATGTTCCAATTATGCACCAAATCGGTGCAGCCGTTTAGTAGTTTAGTGAAATACATTGTACAGAGAACTGTATGAAATTGTAAGCGTGACATCTCAGATTTCTTAATTTTTTGGCAGCAACAACAACAAGTTTTGATTTTTTTAGCGAAAACCTTCCAGACAGAAGTCCTAAAAAAGTGCGATTGGTTATGCTTGAACACACTTAATCGAATGCCAATAAAATTAAGTTTGTAGTTATATCAAGGCGAAATTTTGAGAACAGTCCGTTGCTATCTAAATAGAAACAACGACGCACTGGAAAAGTTAATACATTGAAATACCTAGGAATAATCATCGACGATAAAGTAAAACAAAAACAAAAATGGATTCTATATTTTCAATTAGACCTCTATCAATATGTATAATGCGCTTACTAACTACAGACAGACAGACCAAAATTATAAAAATTTTAGATCTGGCTTCTGTTGAACTAATAAACCGCCTATTAATTTTTCTTTAACATCTATTATGTACAGATATCGGCCTGTTACAATTTTATTATTCTCAAATAGTTTCGTTTGATAGCCATATGGCAACATTTTGGTTATCTTACAAATTTAACTGATTTAAAGTTTTCAAATAAGTGGCAACCCGCTTCAAAAATATTTTCAAAAGTAATCCTCTTTAGTCCGTATTGTAATATTTCTTTCATTTTACAAATATAAATGAATACAATTTTTCAAGCAGTTGGCAAATCCTCTAAAAATATTTTCGGCATTGAAATTCCCTAGCCTCTTTAGTGTGATGCCAATATTGCAATATTTAATTTATGCTATCAATTAAATTAAATTAAAGTTTTTAAATAGGTGGAAACCTTACACAAATATATGTTTAGATGTAAGCCTTTGTAACCCTCTTTCTTTTGACAGCCATATTGCAGTATTTATTTTACCGTATCAATTGACCTAAACTGAAATTTTAAACACAGGTGGCAACTCTCTAATTTTTTCTTCTATATTGTAAGCTAGATCTCTAGCGATACATCGGTGAAAACTGCATTCAATTCCATGTTTTCGAGTGATGCGCGTACAAATATATAGACCGAAAGAGAGTCAAAAATTCTAAAAATTTTTTATTTGGCCTCTGTACCTCTAATAAAAACCCACCATATTAATTTTTCTTTAACATTTATAAGGTACAGACATCGGCCTATTACAATTTTATTATAAGCATAGTTATAGATTTCATTTATTTTATCAATTAAACACTATCAAATTTTTCAAATAGGTGGCAACCCTCCCGAAAAATATTTTTGGCAGTAAAATTTCCTAAATCTCTTCAGTTTGATACCCATATTGCAATATTCAATTTATCTTATAAATTAAATTAAACTAAAATTTTCAAACAGGTGGCAACTCTAAAAGAATATTTTTGGCTGTAAGCCTTCTTAAGCTTCTTTCTTTTGACACCCATATTGCAATATTCACTTTTTCCTATCAATTTATTTAAACTGCAATTTTCAAATTTCTATATTTTAAGTTAAGTTAAGTTTTAATTAGACCTCTAGCAATACATCGGTGAAAACGGCATTCAAATCCATGCATTCGTTTTCGAGTGATGCGCGTGCAAACATACAGACAGGCAGACAGACAGACAGACAAAAATTCTACATATCGTTGATTTGGCTTCTGGTGCTCTAATAAAGACCCCCCCACATTAATTTTTCTTTAATATCTATAATGTACAGACATCAACCTGTTACAATTTTATTATGTCTATAGATACTCACAACAATCTCTTAAAAAGAAATAAGATTATTACGGAATTATGGAAAATGGGTGGCACTGCCATTTTATAGCTACACAAGTTTATCTCATTAAGTGTAACTGAACGTTCTATCGAAGATGTTTGAAATAGGGGTAAATCCACCCCTGGTTACCATGTAATGGTAGTTTTCGGAAAGGTGAAAAAACTACCCAAAGGTATCCATAAATAATTTTGCCCACCTAGTTGTTGAAATATCACACTGAGCGCTGTACGCCGTCTTTACTAAACACAAAGTTAATGCCTGCCCATTTTAATCAATAGCTGCATGAATTTAAACTTGATATTTAAATGTATGTATGTACACTAGGGTAGTCCAAAAATGCATGTGAAAAAGTAAAGTCGGAATTTGTATGCTCTCATCCCCTAGGATTGTTCTATATCGAAAAAAACACCCCATTTTTATAAGCTTTTATTTAACTTGGTCATCCCGCGCAAATCGTGGAAATTTCCAATCGATTTTAAACTAACTTCCCGACAAGTTAGGGACTTGAAATTTTCAGCATAGTTCCAATCACGATGACAATGCAATTTAAAATATAAATGAATTCCCTATATGGTCCAGGGGTCTTGATTCAAAGTCGGTCAAAAATTAGTAAAATTTATGGCTAACAGAGCGTAGTTTGCCAAAGAACGTAAAACCAGAGCAAAGCCATTTATGGCAAATTCTAGATATCAACCTAGTCTAGATATGAACCTCGTTGTAGGCATCATATCAAGGAGATAAAATTAGAAGACTCGAGAAGTTTCCTCGCCAGAAGAACTTTAATATTGCGCCTAAATATATGCATGCTACAGCGGAAGTGGACGACACGCCATTTCTTTAAATGAAATTAACTAACGTAAGCAAACAACATTTTGCTTGCATAGTCTTCTGTTCTCTTTCATTGCAAGTTGAATTATTTTAATATCTATTGCAAAATTTTGTACATAAAATAAAATAAAACTATTTAATATACAACGCTTTTATAAATGGACTAAAAATTAGAAAATAAAGTAATGTAAAGAAAATATTTTTTTAAAAATAAGCTTTTATTTAACATGTTTAATCAAAGGAATAAAATAAAGTAGTGAAACAAAAGATTTAGCAAGAAAATTTTGTCAAAACTGCACTAAAATGAATAAAATAAAATAAGTTAAGGTCTCGTTAAAGTTACTAAAAGCCATTTAGTGAAAGGAGTTATTCAAACTCAAATGAAAATTACTAACAATTTGTACTAATTTACTTCGTTTTTAAAAGAGCTTTTCGACGAATTCAGCGTACATGCATAATTGGTTAGGTATGTATGTATTTATATGTATGTATGCAGATATTTAAATGCCGGTTTGCTATTCGCGCTCAAAGTTTTCCATGTATTTTATATGGGAAGAAAAACTTTTCGTAGAATGGTATAGAATTCTTGAAGATTAATATTTTTGATCTGAAAACTTTGTTTCTTTTCAGGAGACTTCCAATAACAATACCCAATTGTTTATTTAAACATTTTTTAATACTGACGGTTTTTTATTGATCCCTTCCAACCCCCATCGCATTTTCTGGGGGTTTTGGCGGACCTACAAAATATAGTTATTACGAAAAATGGTTAAATAAATGGTCCGATCGACAAATATTGATCTTCAGGAATTCTGTATCATTTCTACGAAAAATTTATTTTATCCCATATGAAATACATGGAAATCTTTGAGCGCTTTGAGCGGCCTCTAAATATTTTGTGATATAGAACAATCCTAGGGGTGAGGCATAAAAATTCCGACAAAGTTTTCCATGTATTTTATATGGGAAAAAAACTTTTCGTAGAAATGGTATAGAATTCTTGAAGATCAATATTTTTGATCGGAAAACTCTGTTTCTCTTCAGGAGACTCCCAATAACAATACCTAATTGCTTATTTAACTATTTTTTAATACTGACGATTTTTTATTTATACCGCCATGAGCGATTTGGTATTCTAGAATGTTTTTGTAGGAAATTGAATAGCCTATAAGTTTGTCATTTGCAATTTTTCGATAGCTCTTGGTTTTTACAAGATAAGGTCAAAACACCGGGAATTTCATGAAAATATTGGGTTTAGTGATCCGTACTATCTCGCTCGTGGGAGTTAGAGTTACGCAGCAATGAACACTTTTGTAGAGCATTCAATTTTGAAGGAACCCCATCATTGACCATGACTATACCATTATATTCCTCTGAGCTATACAACTTTGAAGAAAACCAATCAAAGTTTACGTGTATTTTGAAGGGGAAATCTCTGGTCGCCTTGGTCGACTGGACTTAGTATTAATAAAATAAAAAAATATAGTCGCCGCAAAAAGCACCCAAATGTAAACGATAAAAAATAATCTCTATAATGACACTCAAAGTTATTTACCTGGATTTAGCCATTCCATAATCAGGATTTTGAAAGTTGTTGCAGGTGCCATCAAATGTTCTGTAGTAAAAATTTGTCGAATCACTCCCACAATTCGAAGGCGGAGAAGTACATTGAAACTTTTCCGATTTTTCAGAGCTGAATATAATGCCATTTGAACCGGGGACAAAACTATTGACTAAACGGCTGACCCCATTATTCTTATTAAATCTCATGAGGTTCCTTTCTTCCAACTCGGCAAAAGCAGTTGCAGCCGATGATGTCACATATGTTCCAGGACTTGTATTATATTCCTGATATAACGCAAAAGGACTGAAATATATTTAGTAAGAAATAATACTCGTATTTTTTAAATATGTAATGGCGTTTGTAACAAAAATATATATGATCTTACCATCTACTTTCCAGGTTTGCTGCAATTACTTGCGCAAGGGACAAGATAGTGGTTATAAACAGAAAAATAAATTCTTGGCTGCCCATATCTGCGTGTGATTTCGTGATAAAGTGCATTTGTTTTATGCGCGAAAAGCTTTGGTTCTAGGTTTATATTGTCTCAAATGTTATGTTGCCATAATGTTTCCGATGCATCGTTTTTTTCTCCGTCTCTTTTGTCATCTTTGTAGGCACGCGCATACATATATAATATTCACGCTTATTTGCTCAAATTATTTAAATATCGCACGTTCAGCTTATCCGGAAATATTGATAGAAAGATTTGTTTATACTCTTGCAAAAATAATCTTTCATGCTTGCATATTTTCATTTGTGGGTTTAGTGTTGATATCAGCAGCAGAAGAACTGTCGAATAAATTTTAACGTAAATATTTTTTGCATACGTGCATGTGTAGATTTGTATATAAAAAGGTTGACATTTAAATGCTTATATATGTATGTATGTGTGTACATACTAGGGATGTTAAGAATATTTGCATTCGCATTCGCTTATGTGAATGATTCGCACCATTTTAAACATTCGCATTCAAATGTTCAACAAAAATAATAGATTGACACTTAGGGCAGTTTTCTAATGTAAGCAGTAAAGTTGCCTTTACTAACAGGGCAGATAAATTGTTCCTCACTTTAAAGTGTTTTCGTTTTCTTACCTTGCCGGTAAAAATTAATTTGTTATTCCGTATAGTGAAACTTCACTACATTTCCGGGAGTTAAACTTCACTACATTCGTCATAAAATTTCGAAGGTTGGTAATGCAACATAAGCAAATATAGAGCAAGAGCAACTGTTAGCAAAAGCCAAAACCTCTGTTGAAATATCTAATATATCTGACTCATGAACCAAAACCAAAACAAAATTTAAAGTTGGGTACAAATTTTAAAGGTTACATCGGGTGAGCAACAGTTTATCGATTCGAGAAATTAATGCGCTGATGAGAAAACGATTATGTTCAACAAGTTCCGATAAAATTCATATAATCAACCTAGAAGGAATTCTATATTCCTCTAGCGAAAGCGAAGGCTCGGACATTAAAAAATGTTAACTTAAGGCTCAATAGAAGGCAAATCTTAAAGAAAAAGAAGCCTCCCTCGATGAAAACCCCTCCCGCGATTGGCGGAAAACTGAACTAATATACTACAAATAATTTAGCGCACTATTCACTAGAGTTCAGAGTGGGCAATGATTCAGTGCAGCCGGCTTTATATACGAGCCTCTAAGAAATCGCCTCATAGGCGAAAACGCTGTGTGTGGTCGAAAGTGCTGATCAAACGAATTTTCATTTGGTATTATGATCTTCATTCGATGAAGAATAGCGCTATTGTGAATTCCGCTCTTTTAGGTTGTTCACAATAGTATATTTTTGACCGCTGAGAAGCTTTGTTTACGAAATGAGCAAACTAAATAGTGGACTTATATGTAGATATATAAATTTGTGCAAATTAAAATGAAGTAAAAAGAAAGCGAGTTTTTAAATCTTGGTGAAAATGAGTACAAAGGAGTTATGGTTCGACGATTCATCAGAGGATGAGAGCTTAATGGAACTGGCCAGGAATAGAAAACGTTGTAAGAGAGTTTAAGTGTAGCCAGCGTTGCTGAATTGAAGATTTCGCCGTCATTTTGACGTTTTTTTTAGCTTAATTGGGTTTGACGATTTTTCCCCCGTAATGGCGATTTTTTATTTTAGTTTTTCCTCTAAATTATGTATGTATGTAAAAAAATTTACGGGAAAACGTATTCCAAAATACAACCACGCATATATCTAGTTTTGTTCTACAACCGTGCTTTTAGTTATATTAAATTTGTTCTAGGATTGTAACCAAATCGTTAATTTGTACTGCTGACACTGATTTGAAAGATACAGAAAGTATGAGGAAATTTGTTCAGTCAAAATTATCTGTCAGTTAATAAATGTTAATGTTACACTAAGGGTATTCACACCTATTTTGGTAGTTTCGTAAACTGCTAGTTGGTACTTGGCAATTTTATCCACTGTAAACGTCCTTTTCTGTTTTCTTTTGTTAGTCTGGTAAACTATGTTTATCAACAGCTGATTCGTAGCTTTCTCCTTTAAAAATATAAATTGTAACAGCAAATTTACGGAATTTTACTTACTCATATGCGTTATGCCTTTCGGCAGCGGGCGGATATACAATTTATTAAATATGGATCAGGTGATTCCAGTTTACCAACTACCAGAAAAATTATCAAGCTTCCATCTCGACAATTCGGTAATAAAATAAATTTACACAAACAAAATACATGGGTAACAAGTAAAGAAGTATAAGTTCGGGCGAACCCGAACTTTATATACCCGGCGCAGGTATCAAATATCATAATTTCAACTTTCCCTGAACTACCTTTGCATGATAAGTAGGGATGTTTACCCGCTTTCACACGTTTCCGATAATATGCAGAGTTAGACTTAATGATATAATTGAACCTAGTTAGGTACAAACCGATTAAGTGGTTACCGAGGTATACATTTGTAGTTATAAAAGTCTATAGTAGTCTTATTTACATATTGTTAGGAATTGTTGTAACTATTAACTTGGAGTAAATTAGCGTCCTCATTGAAATATCGGACTTTTAGTATTTCTGAAATTTACCGTTATACGGGAAGCGTGTGTAATTTTAGTCCGATTTGAATAATTTTCAACAAATTGCTTTTTCGTACCAGGGTTATTAAGTGCACAGAGTTTGGTAGAAATTGATAAATCGGTTACCGTGATACACATTTAATATTCTAATTTTATGATAAGTGGTTATTGCAATCATCGATTTTAAGTGAATTCGATCCTGTAGTTACTGATTTATCGCAATTTTCGTGTTTCTGTAAATTACCGTTATATGGCAGGGGGGCGTGGTTATTACCCGATTTCAAAGATTTTCAACAGATTTCTTAGCTAGATCCTACCTAGCCTCGTACCGAGTTTGGTAGGGATTGGTAAAGCGGCTACGGAGATACAGCATTTCATCATAAGTGGGCGGTGCCACGCGCATTTTCCAAAAATTTCATAATAATATTATTTTTTGCCACAATTCTATTCCACATACTAATTTTCAACAATTTGCATCTAATATTTACTGAAATATCGCAGTTTTTGCATTTTTCGAAAATACCGTTATATGGGAAGTGAACGTGGTTACAGACCGATTTCGCCCATTTTCAATACCAACCTACCTTGGATAAAGGGCCACCTACATACCAAATTTCGTTGAGATATATCAATTTTTGCTCCAGTTATCGGGTACATGGACAGACGGACGGATGGATGGACGGACGGAGAGACGGACATGGCTCAATAGACTTCTCTTTTCATTCTGATCATTTATATATACATTTGTCCATATCTATCTCGATTCGTTTTGGCTGTTACAAACAACCGTTATGCGAACAAAGTGGTTCGGATCGCAAATCTAGCTGGACGAAACTATTTAAACAAATACTCTTTAATGGATTTTTACACCACTTCTTATTTAGGGGATTTTGGGGTCGCTGATTACGAATCATAAGTCACTTATCAAAAATTCCAAATGGCGGATCCAATATGGCGCACGAAGATTAAAAAAAAATCGGTAATTTCTATGAAACTAGGTATCTGGGGGTTTTTCTGGGTTGCTGATTACGAATCTAAAGTCATTTACCAAAATTCAAAATGGCGGCTCCAACATGGCAAACAAAATATTTAAAAAATCTTAAGCCTTCACATATGAAAATTTTTTGGAGAGAGATTATACTTAAAACGATTACAAATTTTTTAAAAGTTTAATAAAAATATTTCGCTTTATACTTTGATTTTTATTTTCAGTTCACAATAATAAAGACTTAGTACATTTTAAAATAATTCAACAGTTAATTCTCTAATAAAAATAGTCCATATCATAATTATGCGACACCCAAATATTGACATTTGACTATTTATTTTATTATTATCTATTTAATCTTAATTACTTGTTTCATAAAAATGTAATTTGTTCATTATCAAAGAAATTGTGTAAATCCAGGTTTCAAGCAATATTTGAAAAAAAAATCAACAAACTTTAGCAAAAATTTCGATGTATTTAATTAGGTTTCTTAGAAAGATATTGAGTGTGCAGTTTTCTAGCCCATACAACTTTAATAAAATAAAGTGCAAGTTTAAAGTACCTGGGGCTTTTTGCTGTTTTTTGGCTTTTTTTATTGTTCCTGTTAATAATTACTTTCAAATTTGGAGATTTGACATACCGTCACTAAAATGCAAATATCTAAGCCTATTGGTTAGACTTGGTTATCGAACTTTCCCCCCTGAATTTACGAAGGTGTAAAGAGTAATATGCAGGTGGTTTTATAACGGCCTTCGGTGGCCTTTACTTTTCCTACTCTTTAATACACTACTCTTTAATACATCCGCTTATACCAATGTGGACATACATTGCGTTATGACCGCTGAATCTATAGTGGAATAAGTGCAGTTTTTGGTTTATAAAGTCAATTTGCAAATATTCAAAGATTTGTGAGTTCAATTAGCAATCTTTAAGTTAAATTTCAGTTTTTAAAATAGAGTTCTGGAATAGACGGCGTTGACTTACCTTTTTTTTTGTTTCCATTGTGTTTATTGCTTTAATAAATGCAATTTTTATTTGAATGTATTGTCAGAAATGTATTCCAAGTACCATTACGTATTTTAAAAACAAATAAAATTTTGACTTTCGTCCAACTAGATCTGCTATCCGAACCACTGTGCGATATGTACTTGCCGATTTGTTTTACAAAAATTATTTAAAAGCAGACGTTTCGGTTGCTCAGCAAACCGGTTAATCGTTTCTGCAATTATTTCACACTGATTCTCTAAAACAAATTTTAGATGTATTCTTAATCTGACAATTTATTAAACCCCAAAATAAGGGTGAGTACTTAGCTCAAAATTTATTTAAAGAACTTAGTGAAAGACAACAATTAATCTTGTATTGCTAGACACCTGATAACACAGGATAATTTTTAAGTTCTTAAAAGACATTACTCTACTCTAAGCTTCGTGCAGTGGGCCATGAGAAAACCGACATCTTTAAAGTATAGTCCAACCTTTCACAATATCTGGTATAAGTCTTAATCTGAAACGCAATAATCATTGGAAATTGGCGCCGTTTATGGTGAAAAGCATTTAATATCACACTTTCAAACTAAAGCTTTCTTAAACCTAGAAGCCTAATCTATTTGGGAGTAACGTAAAGTCTTAACATACGCCGTAGAAGCTTATGTACTTAAAAGATAACCTGTGAGCTGAAATATACTTAGTCCTGTCTTATTTTTTTAAATAATATTGAAGTTGTGAGTTTGACTAACAATACAACAT